CCCCAAAACCCCAAAACCCCAAAACCCCAAAACCCCAATAACATAGATGATAACTAAGATTAGAAACTTTTGAAATTAAAAATATCTTATGATGGCATAATACTGAGAGAGAATCAGAAAATTTATTTTTAATATGACATGCAAACAAGATTATTATTAATCATCATCTCTCAAAGTTATTTATTGCTTTGTGTACCCTGCCCTCCTTATTTCAAGGTCCCATTCTTCATTAGCAAACTGTTAAGAGTGACACCATCTGCTTATGAACCTGCTCTTGTCATTCTTTGGCTTTGCATAAGTGATCCTGCTTCACCTAGTGCAATAAGTCTAGGGTTGAACTTCATTTACGATTTATTCATTGGTGAACCAAATGTAGATTAATTCACTCTGTAAGTTTTCTTTGGCTCGAAAGAAGAAACCACTGATTGGAAGTGACCTTCAGAGAAATTGTTAGTCTCCAGCATTTTTTCTGAGATGGTATTCAAACTTATTCTGTCATGGACTCCCTCCATAAATGCAGGTAGTTTGGACTCTGGACTTTCACTTCCTCTTTTGTATTGTTTACTTAAATCTACTTGTGTTACTCTATTATATGGTTATGTTTAGATAAAAGTACTTTTTGTATTTAGAAAGTTTTGAGTAGAATTTATCAATGTTATCATAGACTGTACTATCGTTAGTTACAGCCTTATTGACATTATCAATTGGCTTTCTCTCGGGTATTTTCTGGAAAGGAATCAGCTGCTTGGACAACTTTGGCATTAAGAATTCAAAGTTAACTGAGTAGGTAGATGGAGTCAGATTCACTCTCTATAATTTATCGTCCCTAGGTAGAGTGTTGCTAAAGTCAATTACGGGCTAAGTACCTGTCTTGGAATATATGCCTGGGAAGTAGTCAAAGGGATCAAATCTTTTATCATGTGGATGGCAAGCCTGGAGTTTTGTGAAGTCAATTCTGGGATTCTTTCTCTTATAGTCCAGAAATCCCTTTGAATCTTTTTGGAGCTCAATTAAACGCATATCAGGTTCAACCTTCTCCTTTATAACTCTAGTCTTATTCTCTTAGTTCGTCCATGAAAGAGGCTTGAATACTCTGTCCACTTGCTCGAAGTTGATGTTATAAGCTCCACAAGGAGGGATGGGGTACTTGATTTTGTGGACTTAAAAGTAGTGCTCCCTCGATATGGTATTGAAACTCCAACTGTTCTTTCCATTTTTATCCAGACTCTTTTAACTTGCAGACTAATAACTCAGGTTATGAGTGAATATATGACTAGTCTTACCTTTACCATCTTCTTATCCTTGCCTTTGCTATTGGCATTCTATGCCTCTTGCTGGAAAAAGTTAATTTATTTCATTAGCCTTGCTTCTTTCTCCTATAATAAAGATTAAAATTGGTTCACAGAAATAAATAAAATCTCTTTTAAGAGTGTTTAAATGTTTAGATAGTACCTTATCTTAGTGTTGTTGGATCTTATTAGTAGATTGACTCTTAATGAGTCGCTTGGGAGACCCTCCTCCAGTTAGGATCTCATCTTTATTCTTAAGAATCATGTGAATTTCTTCGGTAAATTTACCAGCTCTCGAAAGCATCATACCTTCGCCTATCATCATATTTATTTATAAATTAATTATTTCGATAAATTTATATACGCTCCACTCGAGGGGTTTTGGGGTTTTGGGG